AAAAACTTGCGAGTAACAAATTCTATACATGTAAGTTTTGGTCATAACGTTGCGACGCGCGACAATGCAGTTTTGATTATTTATCGGAATTTGTTTAACAATGTGATTTTTTTCGATATTTCTTTGCTATCCTAGAGCAACAAAGAAGCACCAAAATCTGGTGCATTTGTTGTTTTGATATCGCAGCTCTATATATATTTTTTCATTATGGGGGTGTCCAGCTTTATATTAACCTGGACCCCCCCCCCATTTTTTTTATTGCTGCTAAACGGTTGGAGCAACAAAATTCGCTCTAGAGCAACTAATTAGCAACAAAAGAGCACTAAATTTTTGACCTATCGCGAATTTGATTTTCGATGGTGGGGAGTCCAGGTTAATGGGGGTTCCTCTATGGGCACGTGTAATTTTCAAGCCACATATTAATATATTGATGTTTTATTAATTTATTTAATTTTTTACCACAAGGTGACGTAATTTTTTTATAGTCATGAAAAAAATTCGGTCTATAGAGAGAGCATAAGTTATTTCGTATTAGAAATACCCTGGGTATCTCATATTACGATTTCCACGCCTTACGGTTTTACGATCATCAATTTAACTTCTGTAATTAAGCAATTCAACATATCCAGTATTTTTCTGTTAGTACGATCTTACTCTATCACTACATGAAGAATTTATTGCCAAATATTTACTTATTAAATAATAAACAAGGTTTAAAAGCTCATCTCAATGAAACTTGAAGACGTTCCAAATTCTAAAATCTTTTTTTACAAGGACTACAGGCATGATCTAATAATGAATTTTCCACTAAATAGTTTTCAATCCAAGAGCAATAAATTCATGGTGGAACCAATACATAGCGTTTATTAATTTAGCAGAAACGCCGGTATCTCATATTAGGCGCCTATCTCATAATAGGGGGCTTTCCTCTACTAATGGCAAGAATAAATCATACTTATTAAAAAATTTTTGAATGTGATCACTGATCTTCTTTATCAGCTGAACACAGCCAATAATTGCGTTTAACAGAGAAAGCAGTTTTGCAACTGTTGTAAAATTCTTTAATGTGCTTGATCTCGCTTTTAATTCTTGGATCTAAATGTAAACCAACTATATGAAAGAATTTTACAACTGTTGTAGAGGTGCTTTCTCTGCTGAATACAACCATTGTCACTGTATCATATTTGAGGAACGCTAGAATCATCGCTGTGCCGATGTTATGAGCGCACGTAAAAAGAAGGATCAACACTTAATCCGTGAGAGGGCTGAGATTCCGCAAGATAAAGTAGTCGAGATTTTGGTATGCAGTACTACTCTCTCGACCTCTATCCATCGTTCGTCTTTCTATACGCCTGCCGTCGATCTCTCTTTCTCTGTCTCCACCTCTCTACAATTTAGTCGACGCGTACTCTTTGTGTAATATTAATAAAAGATGTTACGATGTTAACAAAAGAGCACATAAGTTTTACGAATGCGATACAATCTCTAATCTGCTTTTCGACTCTTGAAACATTCAAGAGTAGAACGAATGTGTTTTAAATTCAAATGTAACAGTGAGAAAGCTCTTTGTTCTTTGCTAAAGTTCTATCCTTCGCGATGAAATATGCGAAAGCGTTTTATTGAGAACAATTTTTATTTGTCTATAAATTTTATTCACTTAATTTGAGATTAAATTCGTCATTATAATGTTAATAACATTCATCTCTATAATGTTATACACAAATAAATATTCGCACAAAGTATTAAAAAAAACTAATAATATCTGCTCGAAGTTCTATTATTTGTATTAATTGCGGAAACATACGGTATCTCGAAATTTGCAAACATTAACGTAAAATTATTGGATAAAAAGAGAAGAAAAAGAAAATAAGCGAAAAACATATTTCCGGACATGACGGTGGAATGAGGAAAATTTTGTATAGTGTTGCAAAAAAGTGTGCAAAATAAAATGCGGCATACCTCAGATGGGGAACGTAAAAAGAGAAAGGAAAAGCCAAGCGAAAGAGAAAAGGGAGAGCGCAAGAGAGATTACATTTCGCGCGGTATTCATGAGGTCGAGTCGAGCCAGGTCGGCGAGAGAACATTCTGATCTATCTCCAAAACGTTTCCCTTTTTCGTGATTTCTTTCGGTAGCCCTATATTGCTTAGTTTTTTGTGGCCACGATATAGTCAATGTAGAAAGAGAAATCAATTGAAAATGGTTCCAGCCGAATGGAAGACGGCGATGGAGGATAAGCGAATGAATCGGTTTGCTCATGTTTGATACTTGATCGTGTGGACAACCCAATGACGTCAATATGAGAGATATTTATTGGGCCATAAAGTTAAATATTTGAAGCCGAATTCGATGTAATCCAATATCACGCTCATGTGTACGGTCAAATTTCATGACGCGCAAATTGCCACGGCGAACTCAACAAACTCGACAAATAGTGCTGATTGCGTTAGAATAAGGATCTTTTAGGTGATCACCGTAAGATGGAATTACCATTTGCGATAGTGTTTACGACAAAAATATATTGCGACGAATAAAAAGTGTATTAAAGTCTGATTTTTATTAAAGTAAGGTTTTTATTCCTGCGCCAGATTGCTCTAGAATGTTCTTTCTCTCGCCAAATTTTCTTTCTTCTGCCAAATAACGTATACTTTTCACTTTAAGTTCCAAAAGTATATACTAGTTCGGTTATAAAAAGCAGACCTTTATATGCTCCAATTTCGATATCCGGTTGCTCTCACTTGTTGATTTTTCAATGCTAAATAATAATAGACTGTAAAGTCCGAGAACTTTTGCAAAAATATACGATACATATACATATATATATAAGAGAGTAGATTATATGACAGTCTAAGCGAAATAAGAAATAATGTAGAGTATCGATAAATCGGAAAGAAAATCGGATATCAGAAGTTAATGGATTGAAATATTACGTTTTAAATGAAAGACAACTTTTCAACAAAAATGTAACAATATGCTTCGCGTAATATATCATGTACAAAACTTTCGTACGAGCTGCGAATACTTTGATATTTAAACTAAGCATTATAAATACCTCTACTTTAAATATGGATACTTGAAAACTTCTTATAAGAGGATGGAAACTTTAAGTCGACGATATGCTTGGAAAGCTCCGAATTGGCTGCGACATTCCCAATCTTTTTCTCATTGACCAGAATTATGACTTCGCGTCGGACGTAGTCGAATGTTTGTCGGATGCGAAGAGTTATCAATGGTGCACTTTTAGAAAGTGTATTAGTTTCACTTTCTTTCCGGATGATGGAAGATGTTATTAGATAAGAATTCTGTTCGAGTCTTTGACACGATTGCTAATCAAAGAATAATACCAAATAAATCGTGATATTATTCCAATAGTTTAATTGCGTTTATAAATCCGGAAAAACAATTCGGCGCGCAGTTTGAAGTACTACAAATATGGTATATATGCAAGTACATATGTAGTATATAGAGGAAAAGGTACTATGGCACCCCGGTTACATTTTACACAATAACTTTGTTAATAATCCATATTTAAGTTTAAAACTTGACAATTACATTAAAATGTTGTTGAATCGATTCTGGACTCGAAGTTATGAAATATTTATTACTTAGGATACTATTAATAAAAATATGGTGACATTGCATAATGACTCGAAGAAAAAAATGGATGGTAATGTGGCCTTTCATAAAAACAGCCTTAAAATATTAATTTTATTTAGAAAACAGTATTTGGTTACAAAATTAACAAAAAAGTAAAATATTTTAAAATCTATGCAAATGAATGTATATACATTCACATAACTTCTGCATATAAGCTGCTCAGAAATAGTACACGTAATATAAAAAAGCTATAAATTAATAGTACAGCTACAATCGATTATCAAATAATTATTTTGATATAAAAATCTCAAGAAAGAGGTCGTGAATAATCAATATCCATAGAGGGCTATATTAGCAAAATACCATGGTATTGTTTAAATTTGCACAACTCAAAATATAAATAGTCAAATAAAATGTTAAATAGCAAATAACACACTCAAAAATACATATATTCATATGATAATACGCTCAAGTTTAAGAAAAATGAGGAAGTAGGTTGTAATTAAATGCTAAAGTGTACCTCAGAAACGTTTCGAAATACTTGAAAGTAAAAATGCTATAATGTTATAATAAGTAAAAATGTTATAATAAGTGCTGGTTATTGAGTATTGGTAATATTAGCGTCATGGCGTAACGACGAGTTACTGAACTAATAATTCCATAAGTAATCATTAGGATTCGCTATATAATAGCGGAAATATTAAGGGAGATTACAATATATACACTGGCCATAATACCACCTTCTCCTCTATATAATTCACATTGAATTATTTAAAGCAAAGATCTAGCTTCGACCGATATAGGCTTCTAATTTATCGATTGTGTTCTTACATGTATGGTCTAAAAATGAGATTCTTATTGTTAATACCTAATAAATTTTATTTTTTGAATTTTTCAGCGCCGTCCGTCCAAATAGTGGACGCCCTAGGCGAACCACTGCGGGACAAATACTATGAAGCTGATAGCACTATCGAACTATTATGCGTCGTGCGTCATATAGCGATGCAGGTGCAGTACAGCGTCGTCCAATGGCTCCACGGCAATAGAGTGCTAAACTACGATACGACGAGAGGCGGTATCAGGTAATCCGAATCTTTAAATATTGTATTCTTTCCCTGCTGCTTATAGCCAAGAGAAATGAAAGCAGTCTTTACTTAATCTATCCTTTAGCCAGCTTTTATATTTTTAAGCTGCTATCATCCTTCATCCGTCTTTCATCTATTACATCAAAGCTGTGTTGTGCACTAAAATTATAATATACAGTGAGTGCAAAAAGTATTAGTACAGAGAAAATATTTTTTAAAAAAACTTTATTTTTAAAAAGTAAATATTATCCAGCAAGAAATGAGTCATCGAATTGATGTCGAATCAATATCGATACAATGATTTCAACACCAATTTGACGTCGATTTGACATTTAATTGTCGATCATTTCTCGTTGGGTAATTAACAATTTATTCATAAAGAATAAAATAAACTATGTTTCTTAAAATTATGTATACCAAAAAGATGGTATAATTAATTATAGAAAATATATTATATGAAAAATAAGCGAAAATTAAAAATTGTATTGCTTGGATGTTCAAAAAGTATTCGTACAGTCGAGAAATTTAGCTTCTAAAATCAGGAATACATGCGAAACTCGTTTGTTATGTTAGAACAGAATGTATTTATTGTATAAAGTAGCTAATTAATGTTTATTTTCTACAAATAAGACTTTTTTTATGACAAATTTCCTTGTACGAATACTTTTTGCTCTCACTGTGCACTTTACACAAAACACACACACGCACGCACGCACGCACGCACGCACGCACGCACGCACGCGCGCGCGCGCGCGCACACACACACACACACGCGCGCGCGGACAGACGGACAGACAGACGGACACACAGACGGACAGACAGACGACACACAGACGGACAGACAGACGGACACACAGACGGACACACAGACGGACACACACACACACACACACACACAATATCGATAAATGTATTAAAATAGTATATCAATAATAATATATTATATTTTATGTTATAAGACCAAACATGAAAACACTGAAAAAAAGTCTAATAATAATCAAGCCTATATAGGCGATAGTTATCGAAGCTTAATATTATCTTACTCTTCTAATTATTACCAAACAATTGGTTACTATTATTATGTTTGGCAATCTTTATTAAACATTGCATGAATATATTAAACAAAATATATTTAATAGCTATTATTATTAGCTTCGACCATGTATGTACACATGAACTGTTAGTTATGTATACATGAGTAACTCATGATATTTTTGTTTGTGTTTACATTTGTAAATAATAGCTATTTCATAATTAAAAAATTATAAAAATGATTATAAAGGAAAAGGCCTAATGTGTTACGCGTATATTATAATTATGTATCCAAGTATGATATTAAAAATTATTTTTTAATTACGTTTCTTTTTATATCAAATATTAAATGATCTAAACAGAAAATCCAACGTGAGTCACTAGCAACGTACGAAGCACGAAATGTAATATTATTAATTGACTTATTTATTTATTTATTAATGATATGACGCAACTCATCAGATCAGATATGAAATTGACATTAGTAGTATGTAAACACAGAAAAATATCATTCTATTGCTAAGAAAAGTTACTCAATTTACTTTCTTTCTTTTAAGTAACGATTATCTTTAACAAAGAATATTTTCATGAGAATAATCTTAAAATATATTTACACTCATAAAAGAAGTGTTTAATTTTAAGATATAAAAATGTTTTATTCTTGTCTCCGTTTTTTAAACGCTTAAAGATGTTTTAGTTTTAAACTTTTCACAATAAACAAAATGCTATGTGTTTGGATTTAAATCACTAAAACGTTTAAAATTGAAGTATTTTTTATTATTAAACTTTTATTTTGCAAAGATGTTTTAAACGGAAAGATTTTAAACACTGCACTTTTTACAGTGTACTTATTACAAATTTTAGAGAAACTTATTATTATGTACTTAAAAGAAGAATTTATTTTCTTTTGAAGAATATTATAAAATTGATCAAAGAAACGACTTCACATAATAAGCAAATCGAATTTGTTTTAATTTAACAATCTTCATTGAAATATTAAACTTACTAAGATTTAGAATATATTTTAAACAAATTTATAATAGATTTGCGCATATATGAACTTTTGAAATATTTGAAACAAGTAATTATTACTTGCGTAAAGTATATGATCGAAGAATACCAGATTTGTTTTTCAGTGAATCTAAAGCGAACACGGATATATAATTTTAAATTCTAATAATATATATGATACAACTATACGCTAAGCCAGAAATTGCATTGGTGTGAAGAGGTCTTTAAGCTTAATAGCTCTATTATTCAAAATTTGCTCGCGCGAAGTCGCTCGGAATGCTTCTCGACAAATATGAGAAATGCATAATCTAAATGTCAGACAAACTTGACGCGGTTATGCGAGTAAAGTATAATTAATTCACGAAACTTTTCCTTGTTTAACGGGCATTTACGCGCGGTTGAAAGACTGTGTCAACTTCCTGTAGAAACGACCGCGAAAAGTCAAATCTAGATCGCGCATGTACATAATTCTCACTCTTCGTACGTTTCGTCGGAGCATTAAAAAATACAGCTCGTTCTTCCTCCTCGTCTCTCTTTCGGATTATATATTATTATAGATTCTCTGCAACTCGACTGGAACAGTATAATTTCAAAGAACCGATTCTGGAGCGTAAGAATTCATTATCCGCGATCCGTATAATAGAAGGGAGATTCGCCGGCTCGTTCAACTGTCGCGCTGAATAAAACTCAGGCGGAAATAAGAAAAAGGCAAGAGCGACACGCTGTCGTATTAAGCTTCGTTAATATATAGTTCGTTTCACATCGTTCAATAATATATGAGATATGGAACATAAAACATTCCATTATGCAACATGTTCCGGTCGTTTTACATGCCTCATTCAAGTCGAGTCCAAAAATTTCACGAAAATCGAAAAAAAAATTCGCAAAATTTCATTCCATTTATACATTGTCACATATTCGCGTTTTTCTTGTCTCGTCCAGTGTCGCTTTGTAAGTATGATAAATGATGCAATTTATCATGTCGAATATATGCTTCACCGCTGCAATTTCAAAAAACGGAATGAAATGAAAATTTGACGATTCACGAGAGATGTGAATTTATAGTAATGTACTTACACGTCTTTGACAACTTGTTTATATTACTGTTAAACAATCGAATTTCGGAATTCTCTTTTATAACAACGAAAGAATAGTACGAACTGTATCAAGATTTATTATTACGAAAAAAAGTTATTTTTCATATTTTATATATTTAAATTGCCGGTTAAAAGGATCATAAAAGGAACCATAAAAATCCTTTTTTCTCTTATATATGTATATAAAAATTGTATTTCAAATATTTTAAAATAAAATCTCTTTCATAAGCTCTCTCTAGAAAAAAAACTGCATACTAATATTGAACATTCGCGCTTTTTATGAGAGTTTCACAGAAGCTTCTCGGAAAATTTATATTCGTATATGTAACATCACTGATGTGTAGATGTGTCATCGCTTTCAGTACGCCTTTTTGCTCGCGATTTCCCGGGCCAGGATACAAGAACATCCCCGAAGGACCCGAAAATACGTGCCGGTAGAGTGCTCATACGGAGTACATGGTGGTTGATGACAGCAGCCGCGAGAGTTAGGATGGCAGCGTGTCGACGAGAAAGGTTCCGGTGTTTGGGGGGCCGGTTCTTGGTCGAAACCGACGCTTCCGTGGGCCCGCCCTGACAGTAAAGTTAGGTGCTGGTGAGACACGGCGGGACAGTAAATGAAATTAGTTTGCGTTGTGCGCTTCTGTACATACGGATGACTGTACATACACGAGGTCGTAGATCCCGTTGCGAGAATAACGTCCCTCTGCGATCTGCCCGGCAACTATGCTGCCGACGCTAAATATTTTGCCGTCTGCAACACATTAAAATATTAATTAACGCCTTTCTATCTTATAAGAAATTAGTGAAAATTAAAATCTCTAAACGAATAAACGGAGCTTATTATACAGAGCGATAAATACATCTTTCGCTTATTGTATCTCTCGGATTGATTTCTGTCATCTCTATTGATTTTGCATTTCCTTCATTTTCTCTTTTATGTATTTTTTTTTAATATTTCAGTATTTTGATGCTCATATGAGCCAAGATTGAAATATATCCCAGACGATCGTGCTTAAATATTATTTTTCCCTCTTTCTCTCTCGTTCGCTTTCACGCGAAACTCTCTGTGAACCACAAACCGTAAACACGTTGCACATAAAGCTACAGTACCATTGCATTCGTTTCCCCAATATAGTAGCATCTGCAATGGTGGACGAGCAAGAATTATTGCTATCTGGCTTAATTTAATCTTTCATTTAATTAATCACCTGACGTCTATCCGACTTTCTCTATCCCCTATAATTTAACGATGGCCTCGCGCTTTCAGATATTGTCGACTCCAATCAACGTTGCAGTATCCTAGCAGAAATTTTTATTAAAAATTGTTATTTAATATAAATTAATTTCTCTTTGACAATACAAAATAAATTATTTTATTCTCTCAACATTATGTAATATATATTGAATCTTTTTTTTCTGAATTATAATACATCCATGTTTGTTTCCAAATTATTGAAATGTATTGAATTATTGAAATTATTGAAATATACAAATACAACATTATAACTTGCCAAATTAGTATCGAACATTTTATGAAAATGGAGCATTGAAAATTTCTCGCCAATATCTTCTTAACTGAAATGTATGCATGTATACATTTTTGGACGTTGCTAAAGTAGCGATATAGCAACAATTCAAATTAATGGTTAATCGAATTATTTGCGGACGGTATCTGGGCTGAAGGTAACGTGACAATGAATTTATAGCGCTTAACATCACGTTTAATTCATTAAATTACAGTAGGACCCTTGACGGCGTAACGATCATCGAATGAAGGGGAACTACACGGTGGAAAATAACGTTTTACGCAGTGTCAAATTACATTAAATTTCGGGATCGTAATTAAACCTCCGGTTACGACGACGATAGTAATGCACAAAGCGTGGCCATAGTTGACCGGCGTTAAATCGAATTTTCCGTGCCGTCGAATCAACGTTATGTTTACGATCTATCTTAATTTATTCCCATTGTAGATTTAACCTAGCTCAATCTGTATCGTGGTAAAGGATACATTATTCGTTTGAACATATTGGCTCTCTTGTGTTTTCATCTTCTCAATGTTGTTGTAGTGATCCATTACAAATGACCACTGATTTTTTTTACACGCGACATGAAATTAAAATAAATGAAGATATGTCGTCACAATGAGAAACGCTTGCTGTGATCTTAAAATATATGTTTACATATATGTTTACATATATACTTTTTTACATTAATCTCATAGTCGGTATGCGATTAACGACACGACTAAACCTTACGTCTGCTTACAACTAAATTACTATTAGCATTAATGTAGAAAGATGGTCACTTCTCAGTTTGTAAAAATTTGTAAAAATTTCCGAGGGAAAGAATCGAAGTCCTTGGGTGTACTGTTTTATGTTCAAGTTCTGATTCATATTCAAACGGAGAGGCAAAAAAATATTAATAAAAAAATTCAAATTTTTGAAATGTCATTTCTAAAATTACAAAAACTTGTTGACTTTTACATTGATGCTTAATTTTATTCAAGTAAACATGTAACTTCATCATTTTTATTAAAATTGTGAAAGGACATCCTTTCACGGAAAGGTCAGTAAAGTATCTAAAAGTGTATCTAAAAATTTAACTAGATACAAATCGGAAAATAAATTTTGTTAATCAAAATAATTATACTTATTTTTAATATTATTTTAGCAATTAATTGGAACATTCAAATGGAACGTTGCTAAAATGTCAAAATTTTTTGCTTTATTCATTATGTTTGAATGTTTTATATGATAATTTTAATAGTTCAACAAAATTATTTTCAGATTTGTATCTAATTAAATTTTTAGATTTCAGTAAAAGCATACTTTCCGTGTTGCAACATTATGGTTTTTAGACAGAAGCATGCTTCTGCCTAAAAACCATAATGGATACCTTGTTTGTTAATTAAATTATTAATGATTATGAAAAGAGTAGCTATCTTATTTCACGAAAATTTCATACTTCTTTATTTCTTCGTTTTTATATACATTTCTTTTCACTACTTTGTGTAATTAAAATTTAATATGTATGAAAATGTAAAATAAGATGTACTTAATTAATGTTTGATAAGCATTAATTTCCATTTTACACAGTTTCGTACTTGTCATATACGAAAACACTAACAGATAGATTATTGGACTTATTTTACATAACGGATATATCCCATGTCGCACAAAAAGAGCATTCATCATATCAACATTGTGTTGAATGATAAATTGCTAGTACTATATTGTACCGATGTGTTTCAGTTGATTGCGCCACGAATAAAGAAATAGCTAATCGCTTACATAGAGTTAACAGCCGCATCCATTGATCAAAGTGTCTCGTACGATTAATCATTATTTGCCGACTGCTTTACACTGTGTTACGTATTGTCAGTTTCCGAGCACTGCTAAAAAAAATAACTGAATGCCTGTAAGAGTATTTGCGCATCCACATATATATATAAAACAAAACTTGAATTTTATGCTTGCTTATTAAGCCCGACAGTAAAGGATAAAACAAAGTACAAGTTTAAAGCGATTATAAAAGATACAGTTCTCACATTATATAAACAATATTTAATTTAATATATAACACAATCCCTTAATTATTATTCCGAATTATTGCATTCCGCAACTTGGCCAATTGCCATTTATCATCGCATTAAAATTACTCGAGTCATGCATATAGAAATTTTAATCAGTGACGTTAATCTCATTACTTAAGCTGGTACGCAGCTTAACTTTATTCACAAACGCAAAAATTAACGCTGGGCGTTGTTCGACCTTCTAAAACTTGTGGAATTAACACAAAATTAAAAATTACTTACAGTAATTGAAATAAAGGCGCAGCTTCCAGCACAACGTAAAAGCTATTTAAAAACGTAAATATCCAAGTTTAAATTTACATTGGACCATGCTAATTTTTTAAGTTGATCCCAAGATTCCCGGTAACTGTTTTCATTTCGCGTTTCCGTATCGGATTAATTGTAAGAATTCTCTCACAAAAGCTCTTACGTTGCTGGGTGCAGGCAATGGACGCTCGACGTCGCGGATAAACGAGCGATCACCTACCAGTGTTCAACCGGTCGAGGATAACGAAAGCGACAAATTGCAATGGAGGAACTTTTTCGATTAAAGTCTCGCTTGCTCGACGCGATTCAAAACCTTTCTCGGTCAAGTTTCCACTCTCAGCGACACGCAATCCGGCATAAATAAGGACGTTCCTTCGCGAAAGGATAGCGAAGCTAGGGAAACAGCTGTAAAAGGGAAAGCTTTGTCTCCCTGCGGGATTTCACGTTACAATGATAGAACGTAAAAGGAAAGACGACTATTGAACAACAATTGCGACATGTGAGGTTACGTCATTAATCAAATTACAAGAGAGAGGGAGAGAGAAATGTTTTGCCGCGGAAAATCGTGGACAATCGCATTCCAATTAAGTAAGCATGCAGTTGCAGCAGCGTGAATCGAATCTTTAATAGGATCCATTTGATAAGATTGCCAATTTAAATTATTTTTTGTGGTGGCTTTTATCCCTCTCTTGCCCTTTTTTTGCTTCCTCTACTCTTGCTCTAATATCCTTTTACTCTTAAAAATCGTCATACCAGAATACCATGAAAGATACCAATCGGTCTTACGCGAGAAAAGTCACGTTAAATTCGGTACGATTTGGGGTGCGGTCCACTTGGCGCTACAAATGCTTCGAAGCGTTTAATTGACCAATTGGAAGAAAGAATTTTAGTAATTGACCAATCAAAAAATGCTTCGAAGCATTTGTAGCATCAAGTGGACCGTAGCCTTGAGCAACCGTTAAAATAAAACTAGTAAAAAAAGAACAATTATCAAATAATACTTAGGCCCAGTTCCACAACTCACGGTTAACTCTTAATCGAGGTTCAACTTGTTTCTCATCTCTTTCCAATTCTAGAATTGGAAAGAGACATTGAATAAGTTGAACCTCGGTTAAGAGTTAATCGTGAGTTGTGGAACTGGGCCTTAGAGAACTTATATTATTCCCGTAGGACACGTGGCGTGGCGACAATACGTCCAGGGCGGTATCGCCATAAAAGCGTACGCTTTTGTTCCGTGCGGTCACGTCTGTCGCGTACAGAACGCAAAAAGGAAATGCTAAAAATTTCCGCTGTGAAATATTTACCGGACAAACGTTTGTCGCTTTAGCTGTCAAGTAGCCTTTAAAAGCGCGAACTGAAAGTCATGTAGGATACAGCTCCAACGCGATCGTCGTCAGAGCCATGGAATTGTCAACAAATTTGTTATAACTTTTATAATCATATTGTCTTTTAACATTCGTCTTTCTCTCTTTCGTATTTTTTTTATTATTTTACCGAATACCGTTACTGTTACATCTAGCTTTGATATTTTGAGAAGATATAAAATCCTAATCATGTTACAAACTATTAACTGTGTCGTCATCTCTCAATATTTACTGCACTGCTGGAACGCTCCGAATCGCCACTTGCACCTTGTACTCGCACAAAATGCTCGCTCGAATAGTCCCCTTTTTCCGCTAGTTTCTCACAAAAATAGGAACGTCAAGTACGAGAGCAATTTTCTGCAAGACGTCTCTGCAGCATGCAGTTTCACGCGGAAACTTTTCTCCCTCGAGAGAACCGGGTATATTTCTGCCTGCAATTAGTACACTTTAACGAAGTCATTGTCTCGTTGCATTCTTCGCACTTCTTTTCAACTTGAAATGCTATTTTATGAAAAGGACAGAGCTCGTTATAAGAAATTGTTATATTCGATGATTTATGCAGGTTCAATGTACAAATGACGAACGCCGTTTTGTTTTGATACAAGATAAATTAGAAATATGGGAATAATATAATTACATTGACACGAAGTTGAAATATATTAAGGATCTGAGCTATTCCAAAAATAGTACCAAATTGATGAAACTTCGGGAAACTCTTCCTTTGTTATTTGTAATATACTAAATATACTAAAAAAATTTCAAGTAGATTCACTAAACCGTTAGAGAGTAATTATTATTTTAATTATGATGATTATAAAAATTTAACTGGCCAATTAAAAACTTATTTTATGTATTAAAAATATTATTAATAGTATTTTTAATATTGTGTGTGAAAATAAGTGATTAATTGGCCAGTATTAGAATTAAAGTTCTATAAGAGACGTTTTCTTACGAGAAACGCAATTTTGTCGAATGTAATTAATAATAAAAGTATTGAAGAAATAGTATCAAAAATTTAATTTTTTTTATACGTAAGATCCTAAAGTACTGGAACTTTTTGCAAAATTAATTTTCACAACACGGTTTCAGAGAAATTATTATCTATTCGTAACAATTTTGCGGTATGTATGTATGGTTTAATATGGTATATTCTGCCATAATAATATATTTAATAAGATAATAAATTTGTTTAATAAGATAAATAATGCATATTTATCTATTTTAACCATATTCCAATTACTTTTTCCATTTTACACTGGTAAATAATGTTTTGTTATAGAAAGTTGAAAAATGACAAATAAAGTTAATAAAATATTGAAAAAGTGAAAAAACAACTTTTTAAAAATAAATATATTGTATTATCTACCATTTATATAAGTTATCACTAGATTTACTACGCGTTTGGCGCAGTTATGCAAATATTTCGAATTTAGAGGACTTTTCTCAACGATTGTATCTCAGATACATTCTTAAGTACTGCATTTGTAAATTGGTTCAAATTTCGTGATCCACTTTTTGTTTCCAACAACGCAAACAGAAAAATTGTTTATACTCTGCAAATTTTCTTAAGCTTTTATGATACTGTATCAAATAGACTACGATACACCGTGCGCTTATTCCGCGACCTAAACAATGGGCGTTCTTGTTTAACTTATAGGTTAAACAAAGACATCTATCGTGTAGGTCGCAGACTAAACGTACGGTAAACCAGGCCAATAACGTTTCCCCTGTGTTTATAAAAACAAATTTACGAATTGTTTGCACGAGATTGAAATATTCAATTTAACGCAGCCAAGAAAAAAAAAGCGTTGATATAAAGTGCGTTACCAAGGTAAGTCGACGGATCTGTCATCAACCTACCTTGATAACGCACTTCATATCTATCAACAAATATTTATTCGGTTAAAACTTATTATTCTATTGTTTGCACAGAGTATGTACACACTACTTTCGCTAGAACCGATAATTTTGGCTCAATTTGCAATTAACTTATCTTCTACTGCGTAAGAAAGTTCGCATAAAAGCGTGCGAATGGGGAGCAGCCGTGCCGGATGAGAGCGGAGATAAAAAGAAGTCGGAGAAAGAAGAAAAACGACTTGAGTGGTGATGGAGAATCAGCGATTAGTTAGGACAAAGAAGCAAGGTGCAAGGGCAGTAGAACTGAGACAAAATTGAGGAGTTCTCGTTAGCTTAAGGAGATGCTCTCTTCTTTCGCACTACAGCGAACGATTCACGACTTTGCGTTGGCCATTTTTCACGAGAAATTTTCAATGTTTCCGAAAAGCATGTTGCCGTGATTGACACATTTTTAACCTGGAATGTACACATTATTATTCATTAAATTAATAACTTTTTATAGCAAATATTTTCTATAATTATTATAGATACTTCGATAAGGACTTGTGAATTGAAAATTTCGAATATACAAATTTAACAATGCAATATTGTATAAAAGAGATCACATGATTTGTTTGAAAATGAACGATTTGAAATGAAAATTAATGATTTGTAAAATTGACAAAATAACATGTTTGTAAAAAAATTACATAAAGAAATTACAATATTTCTACTGTATAATTTTGGAACATATTATTACAAGTTTACATTTACACACGTAAATAACTTACCAATAAAATATTGTTCTTTATAGTAATTAAACAATTAAAAAATAAACTTATAATTGAAGTTAAGTTTATAGAAATATTTACGTATTAATTCGCCAATGAAGTACAATTTTTCTTAAACTATGTTATTGATATGTATGAAAATAAAACTGCAAATATGTGTGATATCAGTATGTCACATAATATAATAAAAATGTTTACATACACATAGAAACTATATAATATACTGTTCTTATTGTAATTTTTCGTCAAAGCGTCATAGCGATATATTTACATGATTAAAGGTAAAAATATTAATTTTTTAAACACAATTTTTTATATATTATTTGTAAATTTTATACATATTATTTATGTAACAGTGTGCGCGACAGAAGTCGAATACATAAATATTTATATTACTTTCAGTTAGGTATATCGTCGAGCGTACTGAGAGAAAAATGTTTAGTATTT